GATTGTGCATATAAAGATTTTGTATATTTTAGGTTGAGGTTGACAGTTTAAAAGGCAGCCTAACTCTATTTACTCTCTCTGACCCACTTTCTCCCAATTGTTTACTTCCCTGTGTTCACTCCCATATTCCACTCCATATACCAAAAACACTAGACTACTGTCTTCCTCCTCCTCCTCCTCCTCCTCTTCCGATGGGTCTTGCTATATTGCTCAGGCTGGTGTCCATCCTGGGCCCAAGCGATCTTCCTGCCTCAACCTCCTGAGTATCTAGGATTACAGGTGGGCACCACAGCATCCACCTTTCTAGGCACCTTTTGACTGTTCTTTCAGAACCAGTGTTTCAGAAAAACCTGATAACATCAAAATAACTAATCTGTTTAAATTACAAATTGAGCTCACAGTCTATTCACAGCAAACACAGGAATACTCTTTTTTCAAAGCTGGGAATTTTTTTAAGTTGAAAGAAAATTTTAAAATAATTTCTATCGCAGCATTTTTGGAAAGCATCCTAAACGCTTACCATTAGAGCACGTGTTCAATTACAGCACATTTGTGCGATGGAACAGTTTGCAGCCACTGGAAAGGGTGGAACTTTGTTATTTTAAATGACTGTTCTTTTTTCTTTTTTTAAAATAGAGACTTGCTATGTTGCCCAGGCTGATCTGAAACTCCTGGACTCAAGCGATCCTCCTGCCTCGGCCTCCCAAAATGCTGGGATTACAGGCATAAGCCACTGCACCCAGCCAAGCTGTTCCTTATTATACTGGTATTCTGTATCAGTACCATATGAATTCTAAGATGTATAGGTACATATTTTTTTTCAGTTTTTAGAGAAGTAAATATAGTGTGCTGCTGTTTGTACAAAAAAAAAAAAAGAATGTATATGCTTGAATATTCAAGTGCTAAATATCTCTAAAGGATACTTGGGAAATGGATGACACTGGTGACCTATGGGGAGGCTGGCAAGTTTGTGGGTTTCTACTCTTTTTATAACATGGTCTCTTTTTCCCCTTTACTTATAGCATGCATGTTTTTACTATTTTTTATTTTTTTGAGTTGGAGTCTCACTCTGTCGCCCAGACTGGAGTTCAGTGGCTGCTTCCAGCCACCGCAGCCTCGACCTGCTGGGCTCCGGCGATCATTCCGCCTCAGCCTTACAAGTAGCCGGAATTATAGGCGTGCACTACCACGCCCAGTTGATTTATTTATTTATTTATTGTAGAGATGAGGTCTCGCTGCCCAGGCGGGTCTCGAACCTGCGGGCTCAGGCAATCCACTCACCTCAGCCTCCCAAAGGCGCGGGATTACAGGCTGCGCCACTGAGCCCGTCTTACTATTTTTTTTTTAAATGCTGAAACTTTTTGGCACAAGTTACATCATAATAGTAGAGCATTAATCCCACTAATGCCAAATCTGAGGAGATGGCACATAATGTTTACCTATTCCAGTGAAGTCACTGGGGTTCCAGCAGGGAGAAGCATTGATTTATCAAAACTCACGGGAGGCACCAATGGTGGCTGGTCAGTAAAGAGTTCGCGCCTAGGGAGAGTACAGCAAGTAGTTTTATAATCAAAGCAATCATTCAAATTCCTGTGCAGTGTTTTCAATTATGTTGCTTAATAGTGACAATGCGCCGGGCTTGGTGGCTCAGCCTGTAATCCCAGCACTTTGGGTGGCCTAGGCTAGTGGATTGCCTGAGCCCATGAGTTCAAGACCTGCCCAGGCAACTTGGTGAGACCTAGTCTCTACAATAAATGTTTTAAAAAATTAGCTGGGCGAGGTAGCGTGCACCTGTAGTTCTAGCTACTTGGAGGACTGAGGCGGGAGGATTGCCTGAGCCCAGCAGGGCGAGGCTGAAGTGGCCGGGTGCGTGCCGCTGCACTCCAGTCTGGGTGGCAGAGTGAGACTCCAACTCAAAAAAAAAAAAAAGAGTGACAATGGCATTATCTTCAGGTTGGCTTGGTCACCTGGATCCCGTGACTTATTACTGGGAATATGCACACCTTTCGGAGACCAGCCTTGGCCAGAAGCCACTCTCTGAGGGAGAAAAGAAAGAAACCAAATATAGGGGGAAACAGTCTATGTCCAGAGAATACCTCACATCCCGCCACCGTAAAACAGGTGAACCACTTTTCAGAGCAGAACGTTCTGAGGTGGAAGCAAAACAGGGCAGTGGCAGGCAGTTCCTGAAGGTAACCACTACCCTGTGGACAGCTCCAGTATTCAGAGAGCCTGTGTCCCTCGGGTGTATCAATAACCTTTCTCCCCTGAAACCGGAGCTCATTTGGACACAGGGGCATCTTGGCCTTGAGTCACTGAGAGACCTGCATCATTTCCTGCCAGGCCATTCTTGTGGAACCAAATGTGAACCCTTTGAGTGTGAGAAAAATGCACACCAGGGTATTTTTACTCATTGATGATTTATAACCCTTCAAATCCCAAAAGCAAAATGTGAGAGAGCCTACTACATTTGTAGGTAATATAAAACTGGACAACTTCAAGTTAAAGCAAATTGGAAACCAGTAAAAGGAGCCATGCCCTGATCATGAGTAGCTATGAGAAGCACCTGTGACAAGTTAATGACTTCAGCTGAACACTGAATTTAACTTTGAGGTTCTTGGCACATAAGGGGAATAGAGAGTGCATGGTTCTATTCATTTGAAGGCAGGAAATGGGAAGTTTTTGCCTTTGGAAATAGACATTTTCCTAATACTCAGTTCAAGAAGGAAACTCAAATGCAGGTCCTTGTTTAAAAATATGTAGGATAACTCAAGTCTTCATGGTGGTTAGTGCCTGTCCAGGTGTTAAAATTAGCTAGTCAAGCCGGGCTCAGTGGCTCAGCCTGTAATCCCGCGCCTTTGGGAGGCTGAGGTGAGTGGATTGCCTGAACCCACGGGTTCGAGACTCACCAGCAGCGAGACCTCGTCTCTACAATAAATCAAAAAATCAGCCGGGCATGGTAGCGCATGCCTGTAGTTCCGGCTACTCGGCAGGCTGAGGCGGAGGGATCGCCGGAGCCTGGCAGGCGAGGCTGCGGTGGCCGGGAGCGGCCACGGCCCTCCAGTCTGGGCTACAGAGTGAGACTCCAACTCAAAAAAAAAAAAAAAAAAAATTAGCTAGTCAAAATGTGCCAGATCTCACAAAATATAAAATCTGATTTGAGTGTCAGACTCACCCACCTCTGTCTTCGTAGCTCCCATAGCAGCCCGTGTATTGGCCTCTGGCATTTGGGCAGCTGTAGCAGCCTCCAAATAGATGTCCCCTCTCACTCTGCTCTCTTCCAGAGTCTTCTCCCAGCTGTGGTCGGAGGTGCTTTTTTGGAACACAGATCTGATCGTACCCTGTCACTTCCAGACCGGTCTCCTTCTCCTCCTGTGTCCTTCGGTCTAAGGATAGAAGACCCAAACTCTCCCAGCTCCCCTGCCACCTTCCCTCCCTTGCTGTCTCTTTCTTTAGTCCTTCTTTCTGGCCGTACGCCCTGTGGACACCCTCACTTCTCATACGGAATACTCCCATTGTCTAAGCTGTGTCTTCTTTCTTAGGCTCTGAGCTGCTTCGTCATTGGAAGCATTGCCGAGCCCTGGGGGCCCACCCCCACTGTTGTTTATCTACAGCTTTAAATACAGTGTCTGATACGTAGTAAAGGGTCAGTGGATATTTGAGGGAAGGGGACCATTAATTGGTGACTGTCTTAAGGCTGTTTGTGCTGCTGCCACAGAATATCACAGACTGGATAACTTACACGAACAGAAATTTATGTCTCACATTTCTAGAGGCTGCAAAGTCCGCGGTCGAGGCGCAGGCATCTGATGAGGCCTTGCTGGATCTTTACACGGTGGAAGGTGGAACAAGGGCAAGAGAGACCCAACTCACTCCCCAAAATCCTCTGTATAGGAGCATGGACCCATTCATAAGGGCAGAACCCTCAACACCTAAACACCTCCCAAATGACTCTCTCTCCCAACACTGTTACTTTGGGGACCAACACATAAATTTTGGGGGATGCATTCAGACCACAGCAGTGACCCAGACACTGCAGCAGCCACCCTTTCCAATGGACAGTGTATGCTCCTGAGGCATTTTCTCTCCAGAGCACAGCGCTAATCACATCACTTCCTGACACCAGAACTTTTAAGTGTCCCCGTTTCCTGCAGGACATAATCTATACCCCTTATTTAGCCCTCCATGACCTGGGCCCAAGTGGTGTTTCCAATCCTGCTTCTCCCAGTCTCCTTAGTCCTTACACGAAAGCTAGAATGAAGCACCCCAGGCTCCTCCTGCCCACACTGTTCCCCCAGCCTTCTCTGTTTGTGCCTGTCTTAGCCATCCCTTAATGGAGACCCCTGGCTGAAAGTAAGGCCTTCTGCTGTCAGAACTCCGAGTGCCTTTGACACAGTACTTATTTTCTATTGGAATAATACTTATTTTATGTATGTGTCGTATGAGGTTGTAGCCAAGTCCTGGATAGTGTCTGGCATAAGCCTCACCTTGTAGGTATTTAATAAAAATGTGTGAAATGAGTGGTATTTTATGTTAATTATTTAGCATCTTTGTAAGCCAGTCTTTAATAGGAAACATATCCCTTGAGTAAAGTTTCTGTTTTTACATATGTGACAAATGGCTAGACAGTGGTAGAGTTTCTCTTTTTAACTATCCCTAAGGATTATGAATATAATCCAACTCGTATCCTGCTTTCTGTGTGGACCTTGTGGCTCTTTTATTACAAGGGCTTGGTACTATTCTGCTACCAAATGCAACAAAGTAAAAGAAAGTTGATACATGAAGCATGTCATTTCAAGGGAAGACTGCTTCCCTTCAAAATTAGCACTCCCTTCAAAAAATGACTCATGGACACTGAACTTGTTTCTAGATGAGCACCACCTCCTCAAGGCTACCCTCTGCTCCTCTCACCCTACAGAGGTCTTACCCTGACCGTTCTTGCTCAGTGCCGTGACTCCTGGGATGAGAGAATAACTCCCACCTCCATTTTCTTTCAACAGGCTGATTTAAACTGCAATATTCAAGACGATGCTGGGGCTTTTTATGGTGTAACCAGTCAGTACGAGAGTTCTGAAAATATGACAGTCACCTGTTCCACCAAAGTTTGCTCCTTTGGGAAGCAAGTAGTAGAAAAAGTAGAGGTAAGTTGGCCTCTGTACCCTGGACACTTCATTCAAGGGCAGACCGCTGGCTGGCCTTGAACCCTTCATTACTGCAGACAGTTGTGCTTTTTGGGTGTCTCCTCCTTCCCCTTCCCCTTTCACCCACTTCTTTTTCCTGTTTCTTCTAAGAAGGCAAAATGCTTTGAGAGAACCTGAAGGGAAGCAAGTCGGAAGTCCTGTGCCTCTGACACAGTCGGAGAAGGAGGGAGTGACCTTGGGCTGAGCAGTGAGAATTTACTGTGCTGCATGCCCTCGTGGGCAAAAGCCAGGCTTTGTGAGGATGATGTTGGCAGTCAGCTTCAGCTTAGGAGTCAGGAGCTTTACTAAAATGACAGCAGTGGGAATCCAGTAAGACATTTTGAGTGGAGCTTAGGAACTGACTTAAAGATCAGAGGAAGAAGAGTCAAAGGTCACACTCACACTGTGTGCTTGGAAGGACAGTACAGAGAAAGGAAAATAAGATGTTTAGGAGGAAATAGGGAATGATTACACCGGGGGTGCCAAAAAAAATATGTATATACATTTTAGGAGATGTTATCTATGTATTACTTTCCTTTACTTTTTTTTTTTTTTTTTGAGTTGGAAGTCTTACTCTGTCACCCAGGCTGGATGGCAGTGGCACACTCCTGGCTACCGCAGCTTCGACCTGCTGGGCTCCTGTGATCTTTCTGCCTCAGCCTTCCAAGTAGCCAGAACTACAGGCGCGTGCTACCATGCCCAGCTAATTTTTGATTTATTGTAGAGACAAGGTCTCACCAAGTTGCCCGGGTGGGTCTCGAACCCGCGGGCTCAAGGCAATCTTCTCCCCTCAGCCTCCCAAAGTGCTGGGATCACAGGCTGAGCCACCGAGCCCAGCCTATGTATTACTTTTCAAAGTTGAATTAAATTATGGTAGCAATGTATAGTACGACGTTCACTCAACCGTGCTTCTGCCATTTTCTTTGACTGTCCTGCCTGTTGCATGGTGATGCTAGTGTTCATTTGATTAACACCATCTTTTGAATGAACATCATACTTAAGACGTGTACACATTTTTTTGGCATCCCATAGATGCAGAACTTAAATTTGGGGGATAGGTAAAGACTGGAAATGTCTATTGGGAATACTAAGCATTAAGGGTCATGAAAGCTGGGAATAGAGAACTAGCTGCAGAGAAGGAATGGCAAGAACACAGGAATAAGGATTAAATTTGGGGAGCAGCTGCCAGCCTCGGGGTGAGTAGGAGGGAGATACAAAGAGAAAAGCAGCCTTTGGGAAGCCAAGGAGAGGCAGGTGAGAAGGTGGCTGTGTAATGAGACAGGACCGGGGGACCTGGAACCAAATGACCTCCATCTTCTCTTAGAAGGAGGAAGCAGAGTTCCCAGCAGGTGGCTAGGAGTGTGGAAGGTGAGTGTTAGGCCGTGTTGTCAGGAACATGGCTCTGTAGATGGGATTCCCTGCCTGGACAGGTGTGTGTAAGAAAAAGCGAGCCAGACGGGTCACCCTGTTTCCCAGATTTCAAGTTATTCTTCATGGTGTCCTCAGAGGATACACACAAAACACCAAGCAAGTTCAGGGAGCAGGGAGAGGTTCCTTTTGACCCACAAAATCCTGGGAGTTTTTATGGAGAAGGTGGTGTGTGTGGCCAACAGAGTTTTATGTTTAAGTCTTTCATCTAGTTAGAACGCCTGCCTGCATCTGGTGTGAAATGGTAGTCCACTTATATTTTCTTCCAAATAGATAGGCATTTGTGTCGTCACCATATATCCGGGAGCTGTTTCTGGAGTCTCTGTTCTCTTCTATCCTCTCTATGTCTCTACAGATCCCAATACCATATCGTCTTGGTTACATTGGATTTATAATGGGTTGTGTTTTCTGCTGAAGAAAGTCAGTCTCACCATTCTTCTTTTTTTGCATAATTTCTAAGCTACTAACCAAGCATTTGTTCTCTCAAATGACTCAAACATTTAAAAATGTAAAGACAAACAAAAACCTTGTGTGAGCAATTTAGTTATAATTTCATTCGATTGAGGTATTATCTTGGGAAAAATTGATATGTTCATGATGTTAAATCTTTCTAATCAAGAACTCATTTACATTTACATTTCATGTATTTTAATTAAAATGAGATATATATATTGTTTTATTTTATTTTACTTTATTTTATTTTATTTTTGAGTTGGAGTCTCACTCTGTCACCCAGGCAGTGGCATGATCACAACACTCATGGGTTATGGCAGCCTTGACCTCCTGGGTGCAGGTGATCCTTCCACCTCAACATCCTAAGTAGCTGGGCCTTAAAAGCTCAAGCAATCCACCTGCTTCAGCCTCCCAAAGTGCTGGGTGCCTGGCTATAGTTGTATCGTATAGATGTGTCCCTTTCTTCTTAAATATATTTCTAAATATTATATACTTTTTTTGCAATTTCCTGATTCTAATTGCTAGCATAGAGAAAAGCTCTTGGTTTTCATATCTATCTTCAATATAGCCAACCTAGGAAATTCTCATATTTAACTCTAGAATTTTTTTCCCCCAGATCATTGGCTTTTCTGTTTATGATCTTAGTGGCAAAAACAAAAGGGCCCTATTTATCTTTTCTAATGTTTGTGCCAATTTATTATTATTATTTTCTCACTCTTTTTTTCTTTACTAAAACCTTCAACACAGTTGTATAAAGAAATAGTGATGTCCAGGATTCTTTTTATTTTTTTCTAAATCATCAGAGTTTATTAAGCTACTTCAGACACATCTGGAAAAAACATGAGCCACAGATGTGTCTGTCTTCTGAAGAGGTTTTTAAGAGATTTCATATTTATGCATTTCCTTAAAGGAAGGGAAGACATGTAGGAAGAGGAGTAGGCAAGCAGGGAGTAGTTCCATTCCTGTGAGAATTTAGTGAGTGCCCAGTAAGTCATGGTGGTTATTCTTGTGTAGTTACTGATGTTAGTAGAAATGGTTTTGGTGTTTTGGCATTTAGAATTATATTTACTAGCTGGGCTTGATGACTCAGCCTGTAATCCCACACCTTGGGAGGCTGAGGTGAGTGGATTGCCTGAGCCTGCGGGTTCGAGACCCACCTGGGCAACTTGGTGAGACCTCATCTCTACAAGAAATCAAAAAAATCAGCCAGGTATGGTAGTGTGTGCCTGTAGTTCCGGAGCCCAGCAGGTCGAGGCTGTGGTGACCGGGAGCGGTCACTGCACTCCAGTCTGGGTGACAGAGTGAGACTCCAACTCAAAAAAAAAGAAAAAAGAATTATATTTACTGTTGGTTTTTATAAATGGTCTTTACTACTAATTTTAAGCGCTTTCTTTCTGTTCCTTGTTTTACTTTATTAGTAATAGCTGCAATATTTTATCAAATGCTTTTTTTTTTGAGTTAGAGTCTCACTCTGTCACCCTCTGTCACCCAGGCTGAAGTGCAGTGGCACGCTCACAGCTGCCACAGCCTGGACCTGCTGGGCTCAGGTGATCCTTCTGCCTCAGCCTTCCAAGTAGCTGGAACTACATCCCGGCTAATTTTTTGATTTATTGTAGCAATAAGGTCTCACCAAGTTGCCCAGGCTGGTCTCAAGCCTGTGGGCTCAGGCAGTCCTCTCACCTCAACCTCCCAAAGTGTTGGGATTATAGGCATGAGCCACTGCTCCCAGCCTTAAGTGCTTTTTCAATAATTTTTGCTAGATGATTTTTTCCAATGTGTTCACACAAGTTGAGTTAATACCTCTCCTGTATATGAACCACTGTGTTCCTGAAAAAGTTCTACTTCAGATACTTTACTGGATTCTATTGCTGATCTCTTATGTAGAATTTTTAAGTGATATTAGTACTATGCTTTTAAAATAACCTCTGTCAAATTTCAGATGTGAATATACATTAATTTTATAAGAGAAGTGGAATAGTTACCTTTCTCTGTGTCCTTGCATAATTTAAATTACCTTGGAAGTAATAACTGTTCTTAAAGGTTACATAAAACTTACCCCGAAGCTATTTGGTCTCTGTACTTTTTAAAAGCTTGGTTTATTTATTTGTTCATTCACTCATAGTTGAGAACTAAAAATGTTGTGTATTTATCACAGACAACATGATGTTTTGAAATATGTATCTGGCTGGGCTTGGTGGCTCAGCCTGCAATCCCAGCACTTTGGGAGGCCAAGGCGAGTGAATTGCCTGAGCCCATGTGTTTGAGACCAGCCCAGGCAATTTGGCGAGACTTCATCTCTACAATAAAAAATAAAAATAAGTAATTAGCCGGAAATATGTATTCATTGTGGAATGGCTAAATTGAGCTAGTTAACATGTATTACCCCCACATACTTATTCTTTGTGGTGAGAATGCTTTAATCTTCTCTTAACAATTTCCAAGAATATAATAGATGGTCATTAACTATAGCCACCATGTTGTACAATAGATCTCTTGAACTTATTCCTCCTATTAACTGATTTTTTAAAAATTCTTTCTACCTTTTTCAATGGCAAATATTTAAACTTTCTAGTTCTGGTCATTTCTACAGTGATTGATCTATTGACATTTTTCACTTCTAGTGGTTCAGTATTAGCAATTTGTATTTTTCTGGGAAAGCATCCCTATCCACCAAAGCTCTGCTTTGCTTTACTGTATATATATGAGAGTTATGTGAAGTTATGGCATATCTTTTATTCTCTATAATACTGTAATGTGACTCTGCCTTTCTTTTCCTTTTTAAGTGTGTGAAGCATTTATTTTGTCTTTCTAAAGAACTAGTTTTAAAATTCCATCTACATTTTAAATTTCTGTTTCATTGGTTTGAGCTTTTATCTTTATTAATTTCCTAGTCCTGGTTTCCTTTGGATTCTTTGTGGTTTTGGCTTACTTCATGGGTTTTCTTTTTTTTTTTTTAATGTTTGAAGATGTGTATTTAGTTCTATAATTGTTCATCTTTGATGATGCAGATATATGAGGCTGCTTCATTAAGCTTCCATCAAGTACGACTTCATTGTGTCTCATAAGTTTTCCTTTTCATTGCTCTTTGGATACTTTGTAATTTCCTTTTGATCCAAGGTTATCTAGGAGTGTTTTTCCTATTTTTGAGTACCTCCATGGTGTCTTCAAACTGCATATATACTGGTATTTTGTTGTTGTTCTTTTTTTCTTTCTTTAATAAACAGCATGCAGGGGCTCATAGTCAGTGTGAAATAACTAAAGTAGAGGAATTAGTTACGCTAGTTGTTAGTCTGCCAGGCTTTATCACAGCAAAGAGGAGTTTTCTTTTGGCTGCTTAAAGAATTGTAACTTGCTGGGGCCTGCTCTTACAAGTCTCTTCCAAGTAACAAACCGTAACTAGGCTATTAGATATCTTTTTTCTAACCTTGCTAAAAGGATCTATCATATTTTCCTTAAAGCTATCCCCTTTCTAACTGTATTTTTTAAATTTTCAGATAAATAGTGGGTTCCAGGTAGAGCAGTAAATTTGGAGATAGGATTTTTTAAAACTAAGTAAACTACCTAAATAGTATAGTATATAAGAGATGATTCGTGTTGAAAAAATAAAATGCTTCTATAGGCAGCAATATCTGTTTCACGTATTTTGAAATCATGCTTCATTCCTTTTTTCCTTGCAGACGGAGTATGCAAGGTTTGAGAATGGCCGATTTGTATACCGAATAAACCGTTCCCCAATGTGTGAATATATGATCAACTTCATCCACAAGCTCAAACACTTACCAGAGAAATATATGATGAACAGTGTTTTGGAAAACTTCACAATTTTATTGGTAATGGATTTGTCTCTTTCCTGTTTTGGCACCCTCTGCCATGAGGCTTACTGGGGAAAGTAGGGAAGATGGCCCGGAGTCACCGGCTCCTGGGCCAAAGGAAACTGACTAGACTATTGGGTTGGGCCCCCAGTGGTCAGTCAGCAGTTGAATTCACAGCATCCACAGGGCACACAGGGCTTGAGTCTATAGAAGAGAAGAGGTTTCTAAGGTTGAAAGAACTGGAATTCGGGTGGGTTATAAAAAGTGATGGCCCTACGTTCTCAGCTCTGGCCGTGGAGTAGAAAGACCTGAAGAACTTCCTAAAATCCTGACACCCAGGTTGCATCCTAGATCAGTAAAATTAGGAGCTCTGAGGATAAGACCCAGGCGTGTGTATTTTTTTAGGTTTCCCAGGTAATTCCAATGTGAGCCAGGTTTGCGTCTAAGCAGCAACATGATATCAAGTCATACACAGGCGGAAGCTGAGTCAGTTGACCTGTACTTAATCAGACCTGACTCATTTCATGAAGGATTTGCATGTCCTCAGAAGAAGTAGCATTCGTTCAGACAAGAAAATAAAAGCTCTTAGTACCAGGAAAGACATAGATTAGAATAGAATGCAATGATAGGAAGAGGAGGAAGATGTTCTTCTATGCTAAAAAGCCTCATCAAAACTTCCTGGGTAGCTGCTAAAGGAAAGGAAACACAACAGTGCTCAGAATCTGTGATGGGAAAGCTTCCGGTGCCTGGACAATGATCCTTGTGTTTCTCCCTTAATGTTTACCTTTAAAACAAATTTCTCTTGTGGGTTTTGTTTGGGACTTGGGAAGGTTATTGGGAACAGTGTTTTCCTCAAAAAATACTTATACAACATGTAATCATGGGTTTCATCAGACTTTAATTTATTTTTAAGTCAGGGCCTCACTCCCATTTGGGCAGTGGGAATGCAGGTTGGAGTGCAGTGGCATGACCACAGCTCACCACAGCCTTGACCTCCTGGGCTCAGGCAGTCCTCCTGCCTCAGCTTCCTGAGTAGCTGGGACTACAGGTGTGCACCACCATGCCTTGCTGATTTTTTTCTTTTTTTTAAAAATAGAGACAAGGTCTTGGTGTGTTGCTGGTCTGAACTCTTGGACTTACAATCTTTCTGCCTTAGCCTCCCAAAGTGCTAGAATTACAGTTGTGACCCACAGTACTTGGCTAAGACTCATTTTTTAAAAATAATAATAATATCATTATTTGATTAAGGTGGGAAAAAATTGCCAGAACAAAATCTGGTAGGAACAATCTTGCTAAAGGGGGCTGCAAGGCTATTGTGGCCAAATTCTCACTCCTCTGAAGATCTACTTTGTTACTCTTTGTTACTGGGATTAAGAACTAGAATATTTTGAGCAGGAATTCTTTGCCTGCTATTTTTGGTTCCGTTGGGACAATGATTCTCGGTAGTGTGCTGGGGTTTTGTTTTTGTTTTTGATTTTTTTATTTATTTAAATCTGTTTCCCAATTCCCCCCAAACCCTGATTTATACCCTTTGCCTATTTCCATGGTGTAAATAGGCCATCCCACAGGCAATTTCTAGCTACCAATGGTTGGTCAGCTCATGCAGTTTTTAAATATCTAACAATAACTTTCATGAGCTAGTAGGAACCCGCTGCCAAATACCACTGTAAAATATAAATAAAATTTAAAAATTAAAAATCCCCTGCCTATTAGATTCATCCAGGAGGGCTTTAAAAATTTTGAGACCTAGGCCCCACTGCAGATGAAGAATATCAGAACCCCTGGGCATGGGGTCCAGCACCATGATTTTTGGTTATCTTTAAATCTCTTTAGACAGTTCAGCGGACAGTCAGGTTGGGACCCACTGCAGTAGGGCATCAGCAGATGAATTGTAGGGAGTCTCCACATTCTCAGACACACGCTTGGCACACAACTGGTAAACAGATAATTTTACATGTAATTTTCATTTCTTCCAGGGGAAGAATCTCAGTGCATTCTCACATGTGCCCTTGTCCCTCTAAAATTTTGAAACCAGCTGGGCACAGTGGCTCACGCCTATAATCCCAACACTTTGGGAGGCCAAGGCAGGTGGATCACTTGAACTCAGGAATTTGAGACCAGCCTGGGAAGCACAGTTAGACCTCATCTCTACAAAAATAAGAATGAATGAATGAATTTTAGAAGCCGGCAACCTGAGGGAAAAGTTTGGAACACATGTTCTTTAGTAACTATTCATTGGTATCCTTTTCCCTAATGGCCTTTTTTAATTTTATTCTATTTTATTTTTGAGTTGTAGTCTCACTGTCACCCAGTCTGGAGTGCAGTGGCACAGTCACGGCCATCGCAGCCCCAACTTGCTGGGCTCAGGTGATCCTTCCGCCTCAACCTTCCAAGTAGCTAGAACGACAGGCACGTGCCACCCTAATGGCCTTTTAGACAAAGTGGAGCAGACCAAGGTTTGCAGTGCTGGCAGGGAGCAGACACCCTCTCAGAGAGCCATTGCATTCTATGAGGCAATCACTGTAAAATGTCTGATACCAAGTAGATGTATAATAAGCACTCTGTGTGTTGGCTATATCATGTGGCTTTTTATTCATTCAGCCAATATTTATTAAATGACTGTTGTGTGCCATGCCCGCTAGGCGGTTGCTGGGGAACATGGTCCCTGCTCTTCAGAAATCTAATCTTAGATTACTTTGGATGAGATGGACATTTAATATAGTCTTACATGTCTATATTTGTTTGTAGACTGTCCTGCATGGGAAAAGTCAGAAGTACTGCAAGTCTTTATTGTTTGAAAGGGATGGTGAACTTGGATGCCTCAAGGGCAAGAGAAACTAAAGGGTGAAGGAATCAGCCTGAGATAAGGGGAAATTCGACCTAAGACAAGCTGGCTGAGGCGCTCAAATGTAAAATGTTTTCACACACTCCTTGGGTCCAACCAAACACAAAAGTAACCGAGTCACGGAAGCGTTTTGAGCAGTTTGATTTTGATCTGATTTGCTTTTTGATCTAATTTGCTTTTAGACAGCTTCTTCTGAGACAGGCATGAGGAATGGAGACCAGAGTGAGGAGAGGAAGGAGGCGGGGTCTGATGGGGAGGCAGCTGCAGTGATTTTTGCCGAGAAGGCGAGAGGCCATGGGCAAGAGGAAGAAGGAGAAGGGGACCCAAGAGGGGAGAAAGATGAGGATTTCAGGATACATGTTGCAAGGCGAAGCCTGCGTCAGTGAAAAGCATTGTCATTTGACACGACTTTGTCAGTCCCTCTGTTCCTTTAGCTGGCAGAAATCTTGCTGGGTTCAGTCTCTGCTGGCTCATAGGCTACTGAGTAAGGTACTTACAGAGGTTATGTCTGTCATTGGCTGCTGTGAAATGAAATTTCACGAAAGATTAAGACTGGGTGCAGGAAAAGAGTAGATTTGATATATTCTTGTCACAAAGAAATAAGTATGTGAGGTGAGGTTATGTTGACTAGCCTGATTTAATCATTCCACAGTATAGACATGTATCATAATGTCACATTGTACTCCATAAATATATGCAATTATTATTTGCCTATTAAATTTAAAAATAAAATGGGAGGCAGGTCAATGACCATTCTGTGAGGCTGCATTATAGAAAATTCTCTTTGTTGTAAAGAAGTCAGCCCCCACAAACCCAGAATCACAAATGACTTGATTTTTAAGGTCTCTTTGTGGGCTCAGCTTATGGGCAAGAGCCTGCCTGTAAAATACTTCTTATGTGTGGTAACCGAGCTTAGATGGGATTCAAGTCAGACCCGCGGTGTTCTACATTTGTGATAGAGGGCACAGAGTGAGGCTGAACAGGCCTCTGTTGGACTTAAGGCCCTTTTTCTCCAATTAAATCAGTCACTATGCATAGATGGAGCATGTATTCATCCACGTGCTGTTACATATGTGTACCTTTTTTTATTTTAACAGGTGGTAACAAACAGGGATACACAAGAAACCCTCCTCTGCATGGCCTGTGTATTTGAAGTTTCAAATAGTGAACACGGAGCACAGCATCATATTTACAGGCTTGTGAAAGACTGAACATGGTTATTTATATATATAGATATCTGTATATACACACACACATATGTGCACACACACACTCTCTCTCCATTATCGAGCGACTGACTGTAAACCTCACCACACAGGGTGGTGCCCTGGCCCCGAGGTCACCCCAACTTTTCTAAATCCTGTTTGAGTGAAGTCATTTTTTCATGTGTTCATACGATCATTGTAGCTGTGAAGTTCTGGTACAGTTGTAAAAAGAGAAATTGAGTTGTTTCTGTGTGTTCTTCAGATCTGCAGCCCACAATTCCTCGGGAAAGGTGAACCTTAACAACCCCAGTCTCTCTCTGTGGAGCCCTGTTTCTCATTGTGTTAGAAAATACTGAGACAGAGCATTTGCCATGGGACATTTACAGCCTTTATACAAATGTGTTTAGTTCTCTTTTTTCCAACATAAAACTCTTGTTTTAAGATACAAGTAAAATTAATCTTTAAATATAAATGTAAATTAGTACACAAAACTAAGAATCTTAGACTTATCTTTGTAACTAATTAGGGTGGAAGTTATGAAAGAATGTAATTCACTAAATTATTTTTTAAATGAAACCTTTCTTTCTTTTTGAAACCAAATGTAAAACTATAGCCTTAAGAAATGCTTGGTAGAAATCTCCTAATGAGACAAATTTGTACTTTTTTCCTCAAGGTTAAAACTAATCTCCTAATCCAGTAAACTCTTGAACAGGTATTACAAAGGAAGAAAACTTCACCCTTACCCTTAACATATATAGTATATTTAAAAATATAAAATTGTATTGTACTAATGTGATGATTGATTATTTAATGAAAAAGAAAGATGGCTCTTTTGCAATAAGTAGATAAATACTGAAAAAAAATCTAAAATGTTTATAGTCTTGTGTGTGCAGTTATATTTTATATGGACAACCAAATTTTTTACTAAAATGAGTAAATGTTTGAACCACTGAAATTTCATAGCAAAATTTTTAAATTGGCATGAATACTGCACTGTAAGATGCAAAGTATGGAGCATTCTGTGGCTGGGGAAAATTTCACCAACCAGACAAGTAAAAGGTTCATCAGTTTTAGCATCTCTGCTCCCCAGAAAATCGCAAGTGTCCTCATCAGCCTGTGGGTAAACTCTTTATTTCTGGTGACCCAATACGCTTATTGACATGCTATAACTATGTGTATATGTGTATACACATAAAGTTATTCAACATATTAACTGAACTTCCATTTCATGTCACTCCGTGTGCTAGGTGCTGATATGTGTATATATCTCAATCTGTGTCAATAAGCTTAGATGTATCCTCTCTAAGGGCAGCCATTTCCTTAACATCTTTCAGTAGCATAGTACTTGTCTGACTTAGGTTAAAGAGGCCCAGCTCTCTATCTCTGACCTTCTCAAGTAGGCTCATTCGGGAGATTCTCTTTGCAGGAGAGAGTCCGCTTTCCTGTCCAAATATTCCAAAGCATTGCCCAGGAAGAGTTGGTCTGTTGTGGCCACATGTCTTGGGTTCTTTCCATAAGTGTTTCATTGGAGGGAAGGAACGGGGTACCCCTCCAACTTCCCAGAGGAATGACATTTTCTATACATGGTAGGAATATATGAATATGGTAGAACGTGAAGTAAGTTTTGTAACTTCTAAAGCATGTCAACGTTTCTTCACCAAGTCAGAAAATAAAATGTAGTTCTACCACATCCCAGTAACATACACACCCCCTTCGCTGTCCCACCATCTGCTTTGACCCTGCTTGTCAATTAGGCAGTACCTTGTGCTCATGAGCATGAGGGTGTGGCTGGCTTGTGGCAAACAAAACACTGGACTAAACCTGACCCCAAAAGCATCACTGCTCACTGGGATGACCAGAGGAGAAAGCGCAAAACTTTCTTCACTTGGAATGCTCATCCCATACAGCAGACCAGTAGGGCGGTGCTACTCTGCCTTCCATTTGTAGATTGCCATTGGTTCCCTGGTTTCTGACTGGCTTGTGCAGGGTCTGCCCAGCTGTCCACCCCTCCTTCTGGTCTTCAGCTTCCTCCATGGCCATTACATTTACAGTGACTTCTGTTGGACACCCCTCTTTGGGATTTGTGTGTGTGTGTGTGTGTGTGTGTGTGTGTGCTCCTGTTTTCTGCATCTTTGGTCAATGGAACCCCCATTCTGTCTCAGGACCAGGAATGTATGACTAGGTATCGATGAGTATAAGCCAGGCCATCCCATAGCTTAAGAGGGAGAGAGATCTGGTTCATATTCCCACCCAGGAATGGGGCTCTTTGGTGCTGCCAGGAGGGCTCTTGAGATTGTTCTTTCCAAAGCACAAAAAGACTGGGACAGAAGATGAGTGAGGGGACAATTCTGTTGGCCACAGAGGAGGACACAGCCTGGTCTGCTGACCTCACAGGGTCAGCTGGGCCCTCTGATGCTCCACCACCCCCATCTTCTTCCTCTGATTGCCTTTGGAGCTGAGTTTTGATGATTTACATGGCCCTTAAAACATTTCTAAAATTTTTAGATGTTTACTTCTCATGTTGAATTTTCTCCAGGACAGATACGTTCCCGGTCTTAACCACTGGTCTAGTTACCCTGTGGCCTTCCCTTTGTCTCTCCCAAATTAGATCCTTGGGTGGAATTAGATGCTATGTCCATTGGGTCATCTAATCCCTGTCTCTCTTTGGCCCTTCATACTATCTGGCAGTCTCCTGCCTTTGTCTCAAAAGCTTAAACCATGGAGAAGCCTTTCCTAAGCTCCGTGTTCTATCTTCCAAGCGCTCTATCTCCTGATGACCTTCCAGTGCCAGCCTTGTTTCAGGGCCATCTTGGGCCTTCACTGCAGAGTTTGGAGGCTGGTTTTTCACTGCCTGAAGACGGAGGAGCTGAGAACTGGGCTCTGGTCTGTTGGCATTCATTTCCATCATAGTGAGAGGTGAAAAATAAAACCAGAACTTCTTCAGAACATATCCTGGAATCCCAGAACGTCCAAGCTACCCGAGACCAGGGTTTCTCAACCTCAATGCTATTCACATTTGGACCAGATAGTTCTTTGTTGTGTGGAGCTGTCCTGTGGACTGGAGGAGGATTACTACTATCCCAGGCTCTACCTGGTAGTACCAGGAGCACCCCTTCTCCCAGTTTTCATAACCCAAAGTGTCTCCAGACTTTGCCAAACATCCCATAGGGTGCAAAATCACCTCCAGATGAGAAGCACTGCCCTAGATCTTACAGTTACCACATTTGAAATTCTTTTCCCTTCCGTCTCACCCTGTGAAGACTTAACCTCCTGGGAGCCTCATTTCAGGTTACCAAGAAGCAGGTAGGACTGTTCATCAAGTGACACCTTGTCCACGTTGCTTCCTGTCTTGAAACTTGTGTTCACAGTTATCTCTTGCTACAAGTATCCTCTTGCTCATCCTTGGGGAAGTTAGGAACAGATGGTCACCATCATCCTTGTAATTAACTCATACCTAGTTAGAGAGCATTTTGGGTAGGATCTTCATCCCTTATTTGACTGGAGTTGAAAAAAAATCCCAGCAATCTTCATTGTTTCTCATCACCTCATGGGTCTCATGATCAAACCCTTCATCGCTTCAACATAATTCCTCTGGGCTGCTTCTGCGTTCTACCTTACAGTCACTGCTGTTTGTAGGAAGCTTTGAAACCTCTGCCACATTTCATCTCTAGGGATGGGGGGGTCCGTTCCAGAAAAGGACTTACAGAACTTTTCTTTCTTGAGCTCAAAGGGAGCACAGTCTACCTGCCTTCATTTTGTAGATGAGAAAGTTGAGGCCCCGAGGGAAGGCGACCCCGCCAGTTGGGGGCAGAAAAAGGGTGAGACTTTTCTAGGGTCCCTGCCACTGGAATCCGCAGCCTCTCCTGGTGGAGGCTATTCTTCTTCGGTGCTCTAAGCTTACATGATCCCTGAGAATGTGTGCACAGGTTGGTTTGGAAGAGAGCGGAGATTGAGGATCCCCTGTGCTAAAGCTCAGTCTCACTGGATGCTGCTTCCCACGCTGGAGTGGCCTGTGTGATCATAGCTAGCTGAGGCATGCATCCATCCACACACAGGCAGGAAAACTGATGCACCTTTTTACTTACTCTGAGGACACTTCACCTGCCACAGGCTCTGCGTCAAGTTTCTATTTGCTAACGTCCCAGCAGCGAAGTCCTGCACTCAGACCAGCCAAAAAAACAGCCCCCGTTCCAAGCACTTGGTGTTAAAAGTCCCTGGGTGACTTTTAAGCCCAAGTCTTCGTTAGGTTTCTGTACTGTGGTGGCTTTAGCAGTTGTTTTTGCACAACTGTAAATGATTTAAATCATATGAGATGACAGTCAATTTTACAAACCAGGTACATGTTAATTTGTATAATTTTGTATATGCTCTGGTACACTATACCTGAACTTACAAAGGGTAGAACTAACTCTGTGTGTCGGTGTTCACACCTGTGACATTAAGAGGATATGTCTGCATTGCTTATTTCTTTATGTTGATGTTTCTGTGGCAAAGCCCTGCACATGGCATTTCTGAAAAGCCTTAAATCTTCGAGATGTTGCATGTAGGGTGTACAGTGCAGAAGGCTGCCTCAGAACTGTGAGCCCTTTTGTAAGCTGGAAGCATTTCTCTTACTACTGTTACTTTTTGTAGGAAGTTTTCAATTCAGAGCTGCCAAAGCGTTCCAGTAAGCAGTGCCTTAGTAATACCTTAGTCGTGCCGCCAGCCTTTTCTTACACCGGTCCCTGATGTTCCTTTACTAATTGGCCCAATATTCGAAACAGAACAAGCAAAAATTGGGTTCATTTTTGTTTTGTAAGCCCATTTTTCTCCAATTCTATAGGAAATTGACGACTTGGTCTAAAATCTGAGACTGGACACAAGTCTGTTTTTTGACCACACTCTCAAAATGTCTATACCAAAACAAAAGGTTGCAACTTTGTAGTTTACTATGAAAAGCAAATTATACTTTTAATGTTGCCTTTTAAATTCATGACCAAATACATAGCTATTTGTGAATCCTCTGCACTCAAGCATGAAAGTGCCTTTGGTTTGAGATTCCAGCTTAGAAAAGTGCTGCCATAATAACGATAATCTGTAGAGAGACCAAAAATATTTTGAGATCACCGTAATGCCTTTGGTTTACCGGAATGAGTAACCAACCACAGGCCTCTGTTCACAAGAGCACGACGCGGTCCCTGCCTGCTGCTAGTCTGGCTGCCAGTGGGGCTCCCCCACCACCACTCATCCTTAGCACACTGCAGCAGAGGGACCCCAGAAACTGTTGTGTTTGTGTGTGCTGATGACCCAGCGTGTCGTGCCACCTCGTCACCCAGCCCTGCATCCACGTGAGGGGACTTCCGCACAAACGACAGAATCTTGGCTGGTGGACAGATGTTACAGCTTTCTCCTTCTCCTTGTGTTCGTGTTCAGTCTCTGTGGAGACTTTCTTCTCCATTCGAATGACAGTGCGCACTTATCTGGTTTACGCGATGATACCATTCTGAAAGTTGGAAGCCTCAACCTGAGATGACAGTGCAGAACAAAAATGAGTTAGGGTCATTCCAATTGAAGTGTTCTTCTTAGGGCAAACATGTTGACTCTGAGTGTATGAATGTGCTATGAGAAACTTCCAAAGAGCACCATTCACAATTTGGCATTTTCCAAGAATGTTCCAGCCCTTGAAGGGGCAGCTCTTTAAAGTCTGTGTTGGCTTTAATCAGAACCTTGTATAAATTGGGAAAACTGATAGAGGTAAGGAAGAGGAGTGAAAAGGACAAGACAAAACACCAGCCAAAAAGAAGCCAGGAAAAAAAGATTTTTCTTTG